TACTTAAGCAGATACTTTAAATAAATATTCATGCTGCTGACAGCAGACATACTTACAAAGGAAGGATGAACCAGCCAAGCTTCCAACTTTTCTAACATCATTATCTGAAATAAAAAATATGAATACTTAAATGCTGAAGGTAGAAAATGGAACCCATAGCTACATAACAAGATAGCTACGATCTAAGGTCTATATCTAGAAAATGACTCTCAAGGACTTAGCACAATATGCCGACTTACAAGTAAGCAGAGTGCAGGTTTTGGCTCAGTGAATGTACACATGAGCATGGGATGATCTTGGTGCTCTTACAACTGAACCACCAGAAGACGTAAATAAGCCTACATATCCATATAAAACAGACAATATATTAAGTCAGGAAAATAATATTAACTCTACAGTAATGCTATTAAAGTGACACTAAGAACTCAGGGGTTAAATCTTAAAAATGCATTCAAGTACCTTAACTATTAACACAAATGTATCACTCGGCTGCAGATCACCAAATCATCTCTGAATTGGTGCCGACACTGTCCTTCCTTCTGGAGGGTGGCTACTTTTGTTCCCCATGGTCCCTGTGTTGTAAAGTAGTCACCGCTCCAAGCTCACTCCCGGGATGGACTACAATCGCATGTTTGTTTTACTAATTTGTATTGAGATTGTAGTCCATCACAGGAGCGAGCTTGGAGCGGTGACTACTTTACAACACACACAGGGACCATGGGGAACAAAAGTAGCCACCCTCCAGAAGGAAGGACAATGTCAGCACCAATTCAGAGATGATTTGAGGATCTACAGCCGAGTGAGACACAAATAAGATACATTTTTGTTAATAGTTCAGGTACTTGAATGCATTTTTAGGATTTAACTCCTGAGTTTAGTGTCACTTTAAGAAGCTCTCTGTTCCTAGGTTAGAATTTTTGGAATTGAAGTTTCTTCTCTAGAAAATAAAGACTTCTATAAAAACATACCGGAAGAAACTGTTGTCATAATAGCAGGAACCCCATAATATGTGAAGGCTCCATTCTCGAATCGTAGCCCTTCCTTGCCGACCTCTACTTCTACTTTACCCTGATTGAGAAAATAAAACAGTATTTTTACCAGAAGCGACGATATACAAGAAGGAGTAACAGTGGTATGTACTAACACAGTGGGGGGGAATACAGCATGATCTTATTGGTTTACATACAATATCCTAAACATTTATTTTTTTTAAACTGGGGGCACATAGGGGTTATCTTTTATTTACAGGGGCTTTGATACTTAGTATCTCTGAGGAGAATATAGTATTCTCCTTAGCCTCCATTCACATATAGCGTTTGTGTTTTCCGCATGGAAAACTGTGCGGCAACACAAACGCTAAAATCTTTCATCCACACAGATTCTGCTTATTTACGGCTATTATATAGCAACGAACGGAAAACTTGCGTTTGGACTATTTTGCTGGCCAAGGTTTCGCACTGCGCGGCTGCTGCAAAAGTTTGAACAATGCACATTACAGTGCATTGTTTTTTCTATTTAGAGCGGGCCGAATACGCACGGACAACCGCTCCTGTGTGAATGGAGCCTCAGAGATACTTTGTATCAGTTTGTAAAAACACAGCCGGCTCACAGCTGCAAAAACACGGTGAGCTACTGCGGGCTATGTGGCTGTCACGGCTCTGTGATCACAGCGATTACTTATTGCTGTGGTCACAGGGCTTTGACCACCTAATCTGCTGTTAAGGGTCTGCGTCGGACCCATCAACAGCAGTAACTCAATGAGCGCTGGTCCCTCCACAGACCAGCAATTACTGTACCGCATGATGGGATTATACCATCACCGGTCGTTAATTAACTGAACGAACGTGATGGTATAATCCCGTCATCGGTCGGGAAGTTAAAGAAGTCCAGGCCCAGCTTTTATTAACCCTTGCAGTGGGACTACCCCTGTACTGCAAGGGCGAAGTGCTCATTTTGGTCCAGGGAGGAACATAAAAAAGTTATACTTACCCGATCCTTGAAGATGGCTTGCTCTTAGACTGGTCCCTGGAGCCTCTCTCCCCCTCTGCTGCAGCCGTCTAAGGGCCTGTGAGTTATCACATGCTAAGTGTACAGGATGTGAGGACACTGAGGGACATACCATCGCTGCAGTGGAGGAGACAGGCTTGAGGGAGAACTGTCACAGCAGCCCGTCTACAAGGATCAGGTGAGCATAACTTTGTTATTTTCCTTCCTAGACCAAAACAAACACTTAACCCTTGCAGTGTGAGGGAAGCCCCACTGCAAGGGTTAATAAAAAACATTTGCCTGGAGTTCTTTTAAAAGAAGAAATGTGGAAAAAACCTAATTGGGACATTAGCCAGTTACCAATCAGGTACCTGGAATGATGTGCGTGGTCCTGGTGGCTGCTGGTTCTTTCTTGAAATATGTTACTTATATGCCGCCATTGCCAGCGATGTCACCACTGAAGTTCTGGAGGTCAAACTGACAGTCAGGGCCGGAGCACAGTGATCACAGCGGGTCGCTCCTTAATAAGAAAACTTCTTGTGTACTTGTCAAAGGATTCAAAGCATTCTGTGATTGGACAAGGGGCGCATGAACATCACACTCTCCCCTTGTCCAATCACAGAGGTTCTCCCATGCCGCTCTTCCCAAAAATTATTTTTTAAAAACCACTGACTTTAGATACAATGTAACAAAGTAAAATGGTAATGGTAAAATGGTAACCCACCTGAAGGATTAACATAAAATAGTCCACAGGCTTATTGCGTTGGTAAAGATAGTGCTCTGGAGACTTTTTATTTTTGTCATCAAACTTCAGCTCTTGAATCACATGTGGGTGCTTCAGGAGCCGCAAAAGAATTTTCTCAGACAGGAAAGGAGCTTTGAAAGGCTCGATCTCTAAAAAAAAAAAATGTTAATGTTAGAAAGTGATCATGTCAACCAATTCAATGGAAAGTCCACATATCAAACATGTATGATGGGTTATGTGTAGGCCACCAATCAGGATTCATTTCCAGATGTATCAGTCTGTACCAATCATTCAACACTGGTCACTGTAGAGGTGATAAATTCATCAATTTCCTTATAGAGTTAAGGTGACCAGAGATCCAATGTACACTTCCGTGTCTAAACCCCTCCATGATGAAGGTAAAGCATACACTTGAACCTAGTTCTGCAACTTGGCCACGTGTTAGTGAAACTGTACATGTCATTGCATCTACTTAGTGTATCCAAGTAAATTATACCACCGTCATAGAAGGACCTGTAGTTCTCAATGGGATACAATACACTTGTTCCCAGAACGCATTGGATTGGATCGCATCCCGGCCTACTCATTGCGTTCAGGAGCGGCCGTAGCGGTGCAATAGAAGTCAATGGCAGACATTTTATAACAAAAGCGCCAGCAGCTTATGCCCAGGAGAGGAGACAATCTTCAATGATCGTGGTAAAAACGCATAAGAGGCTGCTCTCACTTGGTTTTTGTTTTTTTTCATTTGAACGGACCCAATATCCATCCCTATTCGGCTTCAGCGTTAATATATGCAACATGTAGATTCGTGTTGCTCTATACGTATATTTGGATCTATTTGATTGATTCCCCTTTGTCTGCATGTATGTATGTATATGTATGCGTATACATATATTTATGTGCATATAAAATTCTTGTCCGTGTGACGAGCCAAAACTGTTTATATATATTTAAAAAAAATCTCCATTCTAAAAAATCTCTAAAAAATGTCCAATTGATTTCTGCAGAAGTGTGAGTTTAAACTATCACTGTGACCCCAGGTGTTCTTTGATTATGAGCCTGTGATGCATAAAAAGGGAGCCAATAGAATACTCCCTATTGGTTCTGATGAAGGAGGCGTGACCTCAGAAACACGTCAACAATCAGGAAGGACGAACAGCCGGCTGGCTAAGCCCATTGTGTAAAGATCTTTTCATGCCTGCTTTAACTTGACTTTTGTGAGTACCATTGCACTTGTTTTAATCTTGTTTTATTAAAAAGTTTTTACGCGATGGAGGCGCTCTCTGTTTTTTATACAGAAGCCAATGGCACCGCAGCCATGCCCCGCAGGCCACAGCGCGATTACCAGCTTCGGAACGCGTGGCCAGAATGCAGACATTGATGTGCCCAGTGTTCCAATGCAGGCAGGGGGCGAGGCTGCGGTGCCATTGACTTCTATTGCACCGCTACGGCCGCTCCAGACCCAGAACGCAGTGAGCCAGCCGGGATGCAATCCAGTGCGTTCCAGCACTGAATCAGGCCGGAACGCACTGGGGCTCGAGTGAACTAGCCCTGAAAGTCCACAGCTCAGTACTAACAGGGACTGGGGGAAGAGTTTGCAGGAGCCAGAGCTGATCACGTCTGTAATGCTTTACTGCTTCCAATGCAAAAATATAATAAATGCACAATTTTACATTTACGCATGTATGTGCAATTATTTTTTGTTTAAAAGGCGGACTTTAACTTTCTTTGAACAGTTCCAGACTGTACATACCTGTCGCCATGAAGCGATGTGTGGCCAGGAGAAGCTGAGGGGAAATCTGCACCTTCATCTCACTGTCAGAAAGCTTAAACAGGGAAAAGTCATGTTGTTTCCTCTCTCGATGGGGAATTCTCTCCTTTTTCCTATTATCAGCTGATATACAGAAACGTTTTTAAAATACATCATTTATACTTTCCAAACATCAAAGACATTGTTATTAAATGAAATAAATGGTCACCTTCCAGTCATGAACATGATGGGTTTGGCTGGAAGGTGACCACACAAAAATAATCAATGTTACCAATATAAACATCTAAGAATCCCCACCTGTATATACACTGCCTGACCAGGAAAAAAAGTCACACTCTAATATTTCATTGGATCGCCTTTAGCTTTGGTTACAGCACACATTCCCCATGACATCATTTTGAGAAGCTTATGCAATGTCACAACACTTATTTCCATCCAGAGTTGTATTAATTTTTCCCCAAGATCTTGTAGTGATGATGGGAGAGTCGGCGCACTGTGTAAAGTCTTCTCCGGCACATCCCAAAGATTCTCAATGGGGTTAAGGTCTGGACCCTGTATTGGCCAATCATGTGTGACAATGATGTCTCATGCTCCCTGAACCATTCTCTCTCTCCTGGCATTGTCATCTTGGAATATGCCCAATGTGCCATCAGGGAAGAAAAAATCCACTGATGGAAAATCCTGATCATTCAGTATATTCAGGTAGACAGCTGACCTCATTTTTGGAAACATAACATTGCTGAACCTAGACCTATTCTTCAATGGAAGGCTCTGACCTATTTGCTTAGCTAAATCCAGGAGGTGACTTGTTTGGCTTCCCGGCCAATCAGCGTTGAGCGGGCCAAAAAGCATGGAGCTGGCTTCCCGGCCAATCAGGAAGGGTCATGAACTGCTGTCCGGCTTAATGATTGGCCGGCTCCATATTTCCTCGTGGGACACTGCTGGTCAGAGGAAATACTCCTCTGACTAGAAGTTCCGGGGAAGGTATCGGAGCATTTAGGCGAGTACAAGTACTTGCCCAAATACTCGATATCGGTGCATCCCTAATGGGGGG